GGACAAAAACTTTAAATCCCCACTTCTTGGCCTCATGAACTAAATACTATCAACCTGAAGGTAGAATAAAATGTTGAGTGAACTAACCAAATAAATGGTAAGTATTATCATATTCAGAGCACTCAAAGTAAAGGCTCTCCCAGATTAACAGCTGTGAGATTCTAACCCTTTACTGAAGCCCTGTGGCCAGGATGTATCTCAGCAAACAGTCTTAATCTTTGTGACGACAGCCTGTAAGTAGCTGCAATTCCTGATGGTCTCTAGCACATTTCAGCCACAAGCTAGACAAGGAAGCTCTACTTAATCTATATTCAATATTTATAACTATATGAGAAAACAAAAAAGAAGAAAATTATGCATTGGGAAAAAAGTTTTGTTCAGCTGTCTACATTGCCCTAACAACCTTTGTGCATGCATCGAGTGTTAGAACACCTCCAGTGACTGTCCTTAGGATTCTGAAAATGCTGCTTTTCACATCCAGAACTCCATGCAGGGAAGCCATAGCACTGAGCACTGGCAAGCAGCATCACAGAGTAATATTTTCAATTTACTGAATCTTGATCAGGGCCAAGGAGGCATTTAGGGCCTCCATATGGGACATGCTTACAGCTGTAAGAAGGCATTTCAGTCAGCTCTGTGAAACAGAGAAGAGAATGTTTCTCTGCTGCAGTTTTCATGTGTCCTGGCCAGTCTTCGTAGTTGTCAGGATTTTGCCTCCAGCTTCTGTAAGGCAGGGATTTTACCCTGTTACTGCCCATTAAGATTGCTTTGAAGTCTCAGCCTCAAGAAAGCCAAATACAGTAACACCAGAGAAGTAACCATCATTACTTGGTCCCCAGATAAAAGGTGACACAAGCCAGGTCTTGAGTTTACTGGGAAAAATGTAAGATGGCAGCTGTGAGACAGTGATGGCTGTCCTACTGCAGAAGGTAGATTCCACCTCTTACGGTGCCATTCTTGAAAAGCTCCTGAAATTGGGTTTTCTGTGGGGTGGGGGCTTTTTTTGGTAGCTCCCCAGATCTGTTGCTTCTTGATTTATTAGGAGTAATATCTTGCACTTGATTCATGACAGTCCCTGATAACATTCCTATCGCAACTGTCAGCGCAAGGTAAATTCAATTGCTAGAAAGCCTGCTGAGTTCTGTATCTTTTATATATGCACCTCCAGATAGAAAATCTTGCTGAAGCTGTGTTCAGCCACACCTCTGCCATGCTGGCAGTGCTCTTCACAGGTGTGAAAAAGGTAATGGAGAAGGAAGACAAGTTCTGAGTGTAACTAAGTGTATGGCTACCAGAATCATTATAACTACCTGAGGAGACAAGAACCAACGCTGACATTTCACTGATGTCAAACCAGCAGCAAAGGAGAATCCGGTTTCTACTTCTGTTCTCTTAGGTCTACAACACTGGCCCAGAAATGTCATGAGATTGTGGAATTGTTGTAAGGGCAATGGGTTTTTTGGTTGCTATTTGGCTTTTTCCTTCAGTCTTTCAATACTCCTGATCGCAGACAGAATGAGAGTGTACAAAAATAAAAGTAGCTGCGTCGGGAGAGGGGGACTGGGGAGATGACCAAAGAATTGTCACCTTCAAAATAAGTTTGTCAGTTACGGGTTCCTGTGCATTTTGTGTAGAAGTTTTGTATCAGTTTTCACTTCATCCCTTTTCAAATTGACAGTTTGGTAAAATATGTGCAGTTCACACTGGGGATGTGAATCCTGCTTGATAAAATCATTTCTGATGATCCACAATTCCTGTTCTGCATTCCTCTACAAAGAAAGCTGGAACTGTATGTATTTGCAAAGTTTGTCATCAAAGAATGACCGCACTGTACATTGGTGTAGAAACAGGTACTGCTTTCCAGAGAAAACCGATCTGTTTCTACCACATTGATTTCCTCAAGGTTTCTGCCTCAAAAATGGCAGTTTGCAGAGGAACATTTCACTACACCTTATGTCGGATGTCCCAAAAGTTGTCTTTTCAGATAACATTTGAAATATTACAAAAGAAAGCAAAGGGTTTTGCATGTAAACCTCCCCCACATTTCAGCAGCAGAGTTTGTGCTGCATTTTACCAATTTTATTCAGGCAGCTTGAATGGTTTTCTGAATGAAGGGCTTCAATATTCCCTCTATCAGAGCTTCAGGAAGATGATACGCTTGTGACCTCCAAGTAGATAATTTCTTCATTGATCAGCCCTCAGCATTTCCAAGCCATCTGATAGCTGTGTTCAATATAGAGAAAATTATCTTTTAGCTTTTTCTAGTATTTCCTAATAGTTTAAACAGCCTGAGCCTGTGAGCTGCTGAGCACTTCGGAGCCCTGCTGCAAGGACTTCAGCTTCATTCAGTAAAGAGCGTAATCATGTGCATCAACCTCTTTGCCAAGCTGGAACTAGAGGGCATTCAATGTTTTCCTGTTGAGGGCCTAAAACACTTATACAGCCAAAGTGAAGCTTCCTCTTTTCCATCCTCTTAAAATAGGTGGTGTGCATGTGAGGAGAATTTCAAGGCTCATTACAATAGCTTGTATACCTGCAATAATACAGCTAGACTGAAAATTATTTTATCCGTGCGAATCCAAGTTAAACATACAGAACATTCTTTGCTCCGCTGTGAAACCCTTTGGAAAAAAAAAAAAAAAAAAGACCATTTCAGAGAGAACCATGAAATAAAGCTTCCTTTGAAATAATGAATTTTTTAAATAGCAATTCATATCATTTACAGCTCTGGAAAAATGCATTGCACCCTTTCCAGTTTAGTCCCAGAGCAGTGCTGAGGTCAGGACTGATGGTCCCGGTATTCCCAGTGTGTGGGGCCCTGTGCAAGCATAGCACCGGACAATCCCAAAGATCGCTCCTAAAATAAAAGGCATGACAAGCAGTAAACAGGCTGGAGGCAAACGTAATTTTGCGTTGGTATGCTGTGTGCATCCGTGGAGCCTGCGCAGGGGCAGCGGTGCCCTCCAGCAGAGCGGCAGTGTCAGATGGCAGGGCTGCCCGTGGCACCCAGCACCCCAGCTTTGGAATAAAGAGAGAATAATTAGCAGCCATAAGGATATTTTTAAGCCAGTCTTGCAACTGCTTAGAGCTGCAGCGTATACTGGTTTAGATTCGTAAATCCTAGAGCTTATTTTCAACACTGCTGTTAACAGCAGAAGGCATCACAATTTGTGGAAGTATTTTCAAGATGGAGCCCTTCACTTTTAATCCAGGAGTACTTCAGTTGAGTCTACTGCAAAATATAGTTGTTAAATTGAACTGCCTCCCCCATAACTGTTCCAGGATGATTTAAGGTTTCTTCTATAAAATGAGTGTTATAAATCTATCAGAGTGATCGGATTATTTATAGCACCTTGGGACCACAACTTGACTCCATGTTTTATATGGCCACACAGTGACAGTGACGATGATATTTCGAGTTTTGGAGAATTTTTATATGTTAACAGGAAAACTTAAAGCTTTTCCAGCACTAGATTTAGCAAAATTCTGTAAAGGAACATCAATAAAGTCTATTATAATTTTACCTGTCTTCTTGTCTTTTCTCTGCTCAGCCACTGTGAATAAAGTCTGCAGGCTCTTTCCCAACTTGCTCAGTGTCACTGCATAGCCTGTAAAATGGACATCTCATTTCGTATATTTTGAGATAAAACCTTTGCTTAGATTTGTGGTGAAGATTCCAAATGCCAAAAGGGAATAAAAATTAAATTTCTTTTAAAATATAGTGTGTTGATTTTTCAGAAGTTTAGACGGGCAATTTTGTACCAATCTGTGGCACCTTTGCATCATGTAGGAAGATAGTAAATGATGAAAGGGGGTTTTTTAGGAGTGATCACCTCTTTAAACATAGCCTTTAACCATTCTTTAAGTACAGTACTCATATGCTACGCACATAATCTTTATTCATCATTCTTTAATCCCTTATGAAATGTTCATAAACATGCCTTAAGTTCACATGTGATTTAAAAAATTCCTTTAATGATGTTATCCCAGGTGGCAAAGCCTAACCAGGACCACAATGTCACTAAATTAATGACTGTCATATGAAGCCAGTCCAGTGGTCCCCAATAGACTTAGTAGGTTATACACTACTAATGGTAGGCAACTGTGTTGTGATTCCTGTAGGAGGCTGTCAAAGTCAGCCTTCGCCGTAAGAATGTCAACCTTAAATTATGTTTTTATTGTTAAGAAATAGGCAGGACTGCATTATTATGAGAAGTAATAACAATGCTTTTTCAGCTGAAAGTATTAATTCTGCCAAAAGTAGTTTCATTTTCTGTCAGGAGTGTTGAAACATGATGTTTTGTCTCATATTGGGTTGAAAACTTTGTCTGGGTAGCACCTCCTGGGAGCTACTGTTCAGATGCCTCTCATCTTGTTCTCCACTGAGTCAATCTCCCTAGTTAATTTTATCTCACATAAGGGCATCCAGGTTATGCAGTTCTCATGAAGGAATTTGCTAGCAGTGGATAACTTTCTAGCATTGTGTCCAATCCTATTTCAAACCTTTCAGTTGCTATAATTGCCATCATTCTTTTGTGAGGTCTTTCCAAATCCACTCAAATTTGCCAGTCAGAATTGCTGTTTTTCCTTTCCCTTGACAGTGTTTGCTTACTGTGTCCCTTAAATCTCTCTTCCTTGTGTCTCCTTCTTTGGAGCACTACCTGCTGCAAGACTTCAATGAGAATAAATCTTAGGTGTGGTTATTCTGATCTGTAGTATTGAAATGAGAGATAGACATAGACATTCTGTGTGACCCAAAAGAAATATTTCCTTTGCTCTGTGAATCCAGGTACCTACCAATAAAATGGAGATCGTCCTTTTCATTTTCTTTGGAAAATAGTGAGGCTCTTGACGTAAATATTGGCAAAGTGCCTAAATAATGCAGCAGTAGAAACATGCACAGATTAGTACTGATCAAGTCAGTACTAATATGTTTCATCTAAAAGGTGTCAGTACATTTATTTTATTTTATTTTTTATTTTCTTGCTCTTATCTTCAAGATGTTGGAGCATTCTTTGAAGAGGGAATGTGGCTTCGTTACAACTTCCACTCCCCAGGGACTAGCATGAAGGATTTAGTTAGCCGAACACTTTTGAGTTCTACAGATCCTGAGACCACAGTGCCTGACCTCAACTTGAATAAAGAAGAGCTCAGCTTCAGCTTCAGTACCACCAAGTCCCCTTGTGTCTTATTGTACATCAGCTCCTATACCCAGGACTTCATGGCTGTGCTTGTCAAGCCATCTGGTAAGCAACTGCTTTGGGATTTCTCTGTTGAAGGCAAAATTGATAATAATACCAGGTTGATGTTCAGCTGAAGCTCTGAACTAATGAAAAAATATCTTCACCCTCGTCACGTAGAAATAAAGTACGTGGGACCTGAAACTGTATTATGCTGTACTGGATTTTGTACTGATGTAATTGTCAGTTTAGTGGGGTTTCACTAGCCAACCCTCCCCTTCAAAACAAAACAGGAAAAAAAAAAACAAAACAAAAAAACAAAACAAAAAAACTGCTATAGCAGTCAGATCAATGCCATGAACTAGCATTACGAGGACAAGTAGACATCCACATGTAGGCACCTTAATTGCTGAACTCATGGCAATATCACCAGTAGTCAGTGGAAAGTGTAATGTAGTGTTCTGAAAATCTGGATACCCACTGAAGTGGCTAAAATATGGATGTAGCATAGTGTATACTGTCCTAAACATTTTGATGATGGTTGAAGGTTGGATATGGACCATTTGCTGTGGCAGTATTAGAACTGCATATAAACTGAATATACATTAATTCCAAAGAGTGCCTTAGTGCTCCATGAAAATCGTAATTAGAATAATTTTACTATCGTCCTCTTTTATGGGATAAGTTAATATGAGTATTGCACATGTCACTCTTTTTTTTCCATTCATTGCAAAAAAAGAAGGTACATGAGAAAAATCCCACATCAGACATCTAAAGTCATAAAGGTCTAGGGCTGCTCTTTTGGGCCATAATATTTCCAGTTTTGATCAGTAATGAGGCCTGCATTTCCCTTTTCAAACATCTTCCTTTTAATCAAATATAAAAATTTGTTATGAAGAGCAGACACTTCACTTTTGTTTAGAAAAGAAAAATCTGTCTGGCAGTATGTCATGACTATCAATTAACCATTTTAGCTATACTTTTCTAACAATGTAACCCGAGGTTTTCATTTCACCATGTATTATTAAGTTTCCGTAAAAGTCCAGACGGTCACCCGTCAACAACAATTAGAAGTGAGAGCAAGAAAGTCCCTTGTGTAGTTTATGTGTCAGTGTTAATTTGTTGTAATTTTGCCTTTATTCAATGCATATCAATGGTTTTTTTCTTTATAAAACATTATGCTTTGTATAACTGTGGTGGTTTGACCTTGGCTAAATGTCAAGTACCCACCAAGTTGCTTTATCACTTCCCCCCCTTCCCCCTTTTTTCTCAACAGAGCAAAGTGGGGGAATAAAATAAGATACCAACCCTTGTGGGTAAAACAAAAGCAGTTTTAATATAAGCAAAGCAAAGCGAAGCAAAGGTCTGTCCACAGAAGCAAAAAAGAAAACAGATTTATTCTCTACTTCCCTTGAAGAGGTGATGTCGGGCCTTCTCAGGAGGCAGGGCTGCAATATGTGTAGTGGTTGCCTCAGAGGACCAAGGGTGACCCCACCCCATTTTCCTCCTTTTTCCCAGCTTTATACTGAGCAGACATCCTATGGTCTGGAATATCCTTTGGTCAGTTGGGGTCAGCTGTCCTGGTTGTGTCCCCTCCCAAGATCTTGCCCACCCTGTCCCACTGCAGGGAGAAAATGTTGGAAAGATCCTTGGTGCTGTGTAAGCACTGCTCAGCAGCAGCCACAACACCAGGGTGCTGCCAACACCCTGCCAGCTCCCAGCATAAAACACAGCACCATGGGGGCTGCTATAGGGGAACACCAGTTCTGGCTCAGCCAGACCCAATGCAATAACCTAAAAGAATTTTACTGCAACAAGGATAATAATCTCAACAATAAAGTGCTACTTGATGTGCTCAAATTTGTACCAGTTGTCCATATTGTTCAAGGCATAGCTCCAATTGGTTTTCTATCTGGAGTGTTTACAAACACTTTGGTTTGTCGCTGGTCATTGTCACACTTCTGGGTTATAAACTAGGAGAAGTTTTCAGCCCAGTAGTTTTACAAACTCAAGCACTAGCTCTTCTCCTACTGCAAAGACCAGCTCTGAGAGCAATTTAAGTGTAAAACGATAACAGTGTATGTGAAAATAAAGAGGGGAAAATAACTGGTGAATAAAGATCAAAATATCTGAGGGTGCTTTACGCATTTCTTTCACCAGGGAATCTGCAGATTCGGTACAGCCTAGGAGGCACCAAAGAGCCATTTAACATTGATGTTGACCACAGAAACATGGCTAATGGACAGCCCCATACTGTTAACATCACACGGAATGGACGGGACATAGTACTGCAGGTAAGTTGTAGGTTGTTTGGTTCCATTACTTGTTGCTTGTAGCATTTAATATCTTGATGGTCTCCATCTCTCTGAAGATAATCAGTGCAATTTGGGAAATAAAAAGTGCAGTAGATGGAGTTCTGCTTGCAGATCACACTCCTAGGAGTTCACAAAAGCTATTCTCTCCCGCTGTTGCATCAATTCATGTTGTTCTGAAATCCTCATCCTAGGGTGATGACAGCTAGGCTAATACAGGTGTCACTGTAGATGCTTGAGAGTATCAGAGATATCTGGGCTGATAGATAACATGGGACTTAGGATAAACCTGCACCATTCTGGATCAGCAGCTGGAAGCCAGAAGGGATACCCTACAGCATCCTAAATGGCAGTAGAGCCTGATGCACAGACAACTAAATATCATGCCGTAAGTCCTGAGTCTGCAAATGAAAATGTCTTTAAATTTAAATTTACCTTGCAGTCCAGTGAAATCGGAAGAGCTGTTCTGTAAAGATGAGCAGTTGCATAAGTGTTTGTGTGACAGGAGTCTGAGACAGACAGTATTATTAAAGGCACATAGCTCTGGCTTACTTAGATTTTTCACAGGCAGGAACTTCATCTCTCCATATCTCAGTTTACAAACCTTTGAAACAGTGTAATACTATTTAAATAACTGAGGGATCTGCTGCAAGAAGCAATCAATGTTTCCAGGCAACTTCCTCTCTGTGGTCATTACAGCTCTCTGTTTTCATTCCCTGGTTGTCACATCTGCAAACATGGAGGTTGCAGCGGGGTATGAGAACACGTTTGTTGGCAGAAGAATCAGGCGGATGCGATAGATTAATCTGGATTTGATAGTTCATAAGAAGCAAACCAAAACCACTAAAAAATGAAAAATATAAAGGGGAAGTCTCCTTGGGAACCAAGCCAAAAGGTGAAGGACAGTAGTTGTCATGGTATTACCTACCTAAAGATTAAAATAGATCCCTGACAGTTATTGTTTCAAGGCATCAAAAGGAAAACTTTTCAGTGCATTACAGTGTCATTTGACTGAGGCTCTCAGTACTCAGAATAACACTGGATGCACTGAAGTAGAATTGTCATAAAATTATTTGAAAAATGCCAGATAATCTAAAAAATATATCGGTGATACATCCAAACACTTTACAAGCTTTTGGAAGTTGGGAGGTCTATATATTGATATATCCATCTTTCTTGCATGCTGTTGCATTTGGATTTATCTCTCTTACTGCTAAATGGAAGCTAAATAAGACCCACAGTTAGGTTCCCTTCTGCTGTTAAATCCCTTTTATTTTGGGGAGGTATGGCATGTTTCCTGTGGAGACATAGCTGGCTGATTTAGGCAGCTGTAAAACTGAATAAATTATTTTCTGAAGGGATCAGATGAGATACCTTGCCCAGTTGGAAAACCTGTACACAGTTAAGTATCCCAGCTTTGCACCAACTCACCTACATTTGGGGCCCAACAATTTTTTTTTTTTTTCCCTAGATTTTTATGAGACCACTACATAACTAGGGTTTTGAAGAGCCAGAAACATTTTAGTTAGTGTTGCTCTGCTGGGATACAAATTTCTTTACCTAGTCAGTGTGCTCAAAACACAGCTGGTTTATGCAATCAGAAAGCAGATACATCTGAAGCTTATTAAATGAGATGAGCTCTCTGATGCACGTGCAAGAATAAGGAAAGAAGGACCCATACAAAGCACATCCAGAAATACTACCCCTGCTGTATCCTGAAACAGCAGATTTCTATCACATTTTGTTTATTCTCCATGAGGAAGTTGATTTTGTTACTTAACAGGTTACGTTCATTGTAAATGAGAGAACTGATATTAGCACTTAGGGATATGGTATAGTTGAGAACTGTCAATGTTAGATTAAGGGTTGGACTAAGTGATCTTCCAGGTCTTTTCCAACCGAGATGATTCTGTGAACAGAAATGGATCTGTTAGGTGGATTGTTCACTTGAACATTAGTCCTTGTTTTCAAATATAAACTCTACATGGTGTCTGAAAACATGGAAGATATAAATACAATTTTTCTCAGTATCCAGAGGAAAATCATAAGGTATGAGTTTTCTCCTGAAGTTCTGAGCAGTGAACATTTGAGTAGACTTTTATTTCCTGCTAAATCCTTCTCCAACTTGTTGAGCAGCTGGCTTACTTGCTTTTAAAGAAGACAGCTTGCTTGCCAGGTGCTGTTGCTCACACTTCCACATCTCTACACAGCATAAAAGTGTCACAAGAAGGATTTATTTCTCATCAAAGCTTCAATTCAAGAGCACTCAGTATTTTTGATATCTTAACAGCAAGTTCATACTTAGAATACCTGTCTTTCTAACTTACTGTAATAACCCTGTAGTGCTAAAGAGATTTAAAAAATCTGCAGCCAGGCAATAAATTGCTACCACATGAACTATGTGAACTGAAGCTTTATCATGATTCTCGGGAGTTTCACATATATATAAATACGGTAAAAGACTCATTGTTGAACTCTATGAGACCTCACCCAGTGCTGGCAGACAGGAGACCACTGATTACTTACATAAAATCAGTTATTGTCTGATCAATCAGAATTTGAGGTGAGCTTTGAAATAAACATATCCACACTATTGTATATCCATAAGGTAACAGACAAGCACAAGAACAAATAGTTAGTGTGAATTATTTTCACTACATTTACATCCCCATTTGTAACATACCAAGACAGTCAAGACTAAAGGTAGTAGCAAAGACTCTGCCAAAAGGCTTTTATATTTCATTTTTCTAAATTCACTGGCTGCAGACAAATCAATAATTAGTTCTGAATTCAATAACAAGCTCCCATTTGTGATGCCAGGATAAGATTAAGGATATGCAGCTGATTTAGGTGTTAGGAAAACCAAATGACATCATTTCAGGGACAAAGATCTGCTTTATTTTCGGTTGTCTCCATGAGGTAGGCAAAATTAACATTTGCTAATAAGATTCCTATCTCTTGCCACTAGTAAAATACCAGATACTAGTAGCCATGGCACACCTCCAGGGCTGCATTAGTTCACCTGTGGCAATAAAAAGCCCAGACTGACAGATGGGGAATGCATTATCCCAGTAAATGACATTTCAAGAGCTGAGCATTAGGTCATGGAGGGCAAATTTTACTTTGTTTGACTTCATTAAAAAGGTTTCATGCTTCAGCAGGGTATTTTCCATATCATAAAACCAGGTCACTCTTTACCAAGTGTTCATGGGTGATTAATGCTATTCACACATCAGTAAAATCTTTTAAGAAAACCAAGGACAAAAACTCCCTATCAGAGGTTCTGATCCAAAGCCCACTGAAGTCAGTGGAAGTCCTTCCATTGACTGCAGCAGGCTTTAAATTGTACCTTAAACAACCGCAACAGTTGCATCCTTACTGCAAGAATCCTACCTCCCATTTCTGTGCACGTCCCCACAGTAAAATCAGGGTTGAATCTGGATCCGAGATGTTTCTGTTCTGTTGCACAAAGCCATATCAGCGTCTTACAAAGGAAAAAAGGAAACACCAAACTATATGATGTGCTTTAATTTTCAGTTGAATAAAGCTGATAGTCAATGGACTTGGACTGGGTATCTCAGCTTCTGTACTAAGATATTACTGTACATTCTCAACGGATCTCCAGTTCTTCATACCTGCTTTAAAGCCATTTCTAGGAATGGGTTATGAGTGACAGCTTCTAATGCCTTATTTGTTCCTGAAAAGGATTAGATGTGAGCAACTTCTTTAGGACTCCAGTGTCCCAAACGCGTCCATATACTTTCAGGACAACTATCAGCAGTCAGTGCACATCTGCTCAGAAGAGCGCATGGAAGGATAGCAGACAGTTCTCTCTTTCAGGATTGAACAACATGGAGATCTGTGGTAGAGACGTTATACGCAACAATACCGTATATTCACACTGTTAATTACTGAATCCATTCTAAATGAACTTAATTATGAGGCTTTATGGAAATCTTGACCTGAAGTCAGCTGTTCATAAGTTTGAGAATAACCCAGGAAACTCATTTGTACAGATTTCCATTTTCCAGCTTCACCAGAGGCAAGCAGTAGACATACCCATCTTCTGTGAAAAATAATCAATGAAATATTTTAACCCTACCCAAATGAACCCAAGGAGAAACAGAATTTCTGCAAGGTCTTTTATTTCCATCTTGAATTCTGTACTACTTGAAAAGAGACAACATTTGCAAACTCCTAGATGCTTAAAAAATGTAAATCATACAAAGTTAATTCAAAACTAATCTGAAGTACAAAATGAAATGGTAAACATAATAGCTATAAAATAAAATGGGTGAAGTGGAGCAAAGCAGTCTGCATATAATCCCAAACTTAAATGCAATGAATGTATCAAAGATTTTTATAATTATAGATTAAATTTTGGTCTCATTAAAGGGAGTGGGAACTTTCTCATAGACCTCAGTGAGGCTATAATTTCACTTCCTATCATTATTATTGCTGTAGAATCATACCTAACTATCACGTTTCATATATTTTGAATCCTCAACAGAACATGATCACTCTGCTTGAGCTCTTGCTTAACAGAGGCAGTAAAATTTCACCAAATGATTTTTCTATAGCTAACCAAAAAGTAATGATAGCAGTATAACACATTTTCTAGAAAGACATTTTATAGAGCTTTAAAGACTTCAAATGGTAGAAAATTTACCACATCCTTTGGCCATGTCTTCCAATGGTTAAGTGCCATGCCTGTAAAGAATTTGCACCTAATTTACAGCTGGAACTCTGAAGACTTCAGCGTTTAACTTTGGGATCTTTGTGTCTATGGCTGATAGATGAAAGAATTGTTTGGTGTCAGGTGTCATCCCCTTCCGCACTTTCTTAGAGATGCTGATTAAAACATCTTTTCATCTTGTCTGTAAGAAGGTAAATAAATTGAACTATTTTAGTATACCACCTGAAGTCTATAATTTTTTAGCCATGAAACAATTTTATAACTATTGTCTGAAAAATCTCCCATT